CCTTTCTACTGTGATGCTAGTTTCAAGGAACTATGTACCTGCACTCCTAAGTCTCTTTGTTCAACAACACTTTCCAGGGCCCTACCATTAACTGTGTAAGTCATACCCTGGTTAGTCTTACCAAAATGACCTTGCATTTATCTAAATTAAACTCCATCTGCCATTCCTCAGCCCACTTGCCCGGTTGATCAAGATCCCAATGTACTCTTGGATAACTTTCTTCACTGTCCATTATACTGCCAATTTTGGCATCGTCTGCAAACTTACTAACAGCACCTGTTGTATTCTTGCCAAATCATTTATTTAAATGACAAACAACAGCGGACCCAGCACTGATCCTTGCAGCACATTGCTGGTCATGGGCCTCCAGTCTGAACAACAGCCCTCTACCACTACCCTCTGTCTCCTACCGTCAAGCCAGTTCTGAATCCAGTTGGCTAGCTCTCCCTGAACTCCATGTGATCTAACCTTGCTAACCAGTCCACCATGCAGAACCTTGTCGAATACCTTGCTAAAGTCCATGTAGACAGCAATTACTGTTCTGCCTTCATCTATCTTCTTGATTGCCTCTTCCATAAAAACTCAGTCGAGTTTTATGAGACACAATTTTCCATGCACAAAGCCATGCTGACTATCCCTAAACAGTCCTTGCCTTTCCAAATACATGTAGATCTGTCTCTCAGAATCCCAACCAACACATTAACCACCATTGATATCATGCTCACTGGTCTGTAGTTCCTCGGCTTTTCCTTGCAGCCTTTCTTAAATAATGGCACAACATTAGCCACCTTCCAGTCTTCCGGCACCTCAGCTGTGGTTGTTGATACAGTTATCTGGGCCCCACAATTTCTTCCCTAGTTTTCCATAATGTCCTGGGACACACTTGATCCGGTTTCAGAGATTTATCTACCCTTATGCATTTTAAGACCTCCTGTACCACCTCTTCTGTAATGTGGACTCTTTTCAAGACATTACTGTTTATTTCCCCAAGCTCCCTAGTTTCCATGTCTTTCTCCTCCACAGTAAATACTAACACAAAATATTCATTTAGGATCTCGCCCATCTCCTGTGGTTCCACACGCACGTGGCCTTTTTAATCCTTAAGGGGCCCAGTTGTCTCCCTAGCTATTCTTTTGCCCTTAATATGCTTATAGAATTTCTTTGAATTCTCCTTAACCTTATCTTCAGACGTTCCATCTCCACCTTTTCCCTTTCTCTCCTTGACATCTGTCCTTATTTCTAGGTATTGACTGACAACTATATGTCCACTAGTTCACACAGCTAACTTAACTGTTGTGTCCTGCCACCCTGTTTTCTGGAAGCACTGCATTTCAATTCTCCCACTTTCCCACATCTGCATTCTGGTTTGATGATATCCCCTTCCAATACATCATCTTTTATTCCCAACAGAGGAACCAACCTCGCATGGTTGACACGATATTCTACTGTGACCAGTTCATAACATATATTGTGTGTCTCGATTGATAATTCAAGTCAACTCACCATGGCTATTTAAAAAATATTTTGCCCCAATCCCCAGTGCATGTTCTTTAGGATTAACCTGAATCTACATGTATATAACTTTGAATAATATTGTTAGTAAAAGCAGTCATTTCAGTTATTTTGGAAGTCTAGTGATAAACAATGGAAAAGTATATTTTCATGTTATTCACATGGAACAGTATTATTTTACATGTTCCCAACACTAATATTTCTTTTCTTTGTTTCCTTATCCTTCTTTATTTGTTCCAGGGAATGTAGGCATTACTAGTTAGGCCAGGATTTATTGTGCCATTGCTAAATACCTTGAAGGTGGTGGTAAATAAGCTGCACTCTTGAACCACTGCAGTCCTTGGGATGCAGGGACTCCCACACTGCTGCTGGGAAGAGAGTTCCACAATTTTGCTAGTTGGCATATTGTAAAAGAATGGCAATATTGTTCCAGTCTGGGCTTGGGTGTAACTTGGAGGGGAATTCTTTTGTGTGTTCCAACAAAGAATAATTTAGTTCCATCAGGATATGGCAAACATTGTAGCCAAATGAAATTTTGACAACTGTAGAATGAATTAGATTGAAGGAAGTAGTTAGTTGTGCCTATACAGGCTCTTTGCTGTTTTTGATCAATCCAACCCCTTTCACTTTCCCTGTAGCCCTGTAATTTTTCCCCCTTCATCTGTACATCCAAATTCCTTTTGAATATCATTATTGAATCTATTTCCATTCTAATTAAGGCAATGTGTTCTTGATCTCAGTTCGATATTTTCATCATTTTATCTCCAGCTCTTTTTCAAATCATCCTATATCTATCATTTCTAGTTATTGTACTATTTTCCAGTGGAACCATTTTCTCCTTTATTATCAAATCCTTTATGATTTTCAACATCTTTATTATATGGAAATATTGTTTTAAGACGTCAATGTACGACAGGTTCCCTTGAAACATGATCAAAGATGATAGTACTGATTAAATTAATTGCAAATCAAATGGATATCTTTCAGAAAATAATATTTGAGACACCAGTATGTGTATAATTAGGGACAAATAGGAAATGTGGCATGCTCGAGAGAAATGGGTGAATTTGGGCCTATGGTTCCCAAGGTTTTGTGTTACTACTCTATGTTTCAACTGTTTATGCATGTTTTATTTGTTCATGGGATATTGATGTTCATGTTTGAAAAAATAGTGATGAGCAGTGTTCTTGAATCGCTGCACTCCCTGTGGTATAGGTACTCCACTGGTGCTCTTGGGTCTTACACCTTTCTGAAGCAGTTTGATACAACTGAGTAGTTTGCTGTTTTGGAGAGTACTTTAGTTAGTAGCCAACCATGTTGCTCACTGTTTGGAGTCATATAAAAATTAGATCACATAAGGATGGCAGATTTTCTTCTCCAAAGGATATTGGTAAGTCACTGATTTTTTTTATATATGACAGTCAGTAGTTTCCTGGTCACGATCACTGATGTTTCATTCCCTATATATTTAATTAACTGAATTTAAACTGCCTGGCTGTTGTGATGAGATTTAAACTCTTGTCTCCTGATTGTAGTTGGGATTACTAAATGGAGATAAGGGGTGACAATATATGTCTACACAATTGAGTGAATAAAGATATCAGTAACATCCCTTTGAATTAATATGATTGTCATGATTTATAAACAACTCCCATTAATATTGTATCAAGCAGCTAATGGGTTAATAAATGGTGAACCGACTCTGTGGTCTGTCTTTTGTTTATAAATGCTGCTGTGGGTAATGTATTTGGGTAATATAGATTCACTAGGTTTCAACTAAACTAACCACAACATGGTTCAAATCTGTCATGTTATGTTTTTCTCTCCAATTGTTGGTCTTTATTCATGATTTCTATAGTGAGTACTTGACAGGCAATTCATCATTGAATGGAATCATAGCTGAATGTAGACCTGTTCCTGTCCCAATATTCCTTTATTTCCCCATTTGTGCTCAAATGTGCACACTTTTTAAGAGCAGTCACTGGATCGCAAGAGGACGCTGGAACCCAAGCTGATTTCTTACCTTTCCAGTTCAGGCATGTTAAAGTCAATTTGTAACCTTCCAAATATAGTAATTACCAATTGTACCAAAAATCATTCTAGGAGCCCTCTGGTGTATGATCTAATAATAAATGGATCATTGAGGGGCCGTGCACTACAGAAAATGAGAGTTGAGGCATAAGAGAAGAGTTTGTGCTGCACAGGTATGTTATAAGAGGATTAGGGTGCTTTGAGAAAAGGGTTTTTATCCAATCTTCCAAACGTATCCCAAAAAGAGAAGGCTTGATGCTGTTTCTATGCCTGCCTTTAGAGACTTGCTGAAAATAAGAGTAACTGCTCTTGTACAAATGAAGATATCAATAATTGGAGACAGCCTTAGGCAAAAAGGAAGAAGTCCTTAACTAGAAGGTACCAAAAAGTACAATTAAGGCAAAACATGCCTGCCATGTTGAGTTTTTAGCAATGCAAACTGAACACTCATTCCATTCACCTTTGGTATGACTAAGCTTTTCACATCAAACCATATAGCAATATTGAAGCTGATTTAAAATATGCATTACTCTTAAACTCCTGGCTTAAAATAAACAAATAAAAGAATTGATTGTATAATAATGGACAGATTCTAGTTCTCTAGTTATTTGTGCAAAATAGTACTGATATCATTATTCTGTTTTGTATAACACATTGTCAATCCAAAGAGTTCAGAACCAAACAAAATTTAGACTGGCAGTTTGTTGAACCAGCATCTTGATGTGGGAATTCGTTTATTGGATGCTATTGGTTGCAAAGAAAACAAACTTGTGTCAATAGAGTTTTAAGTTTTGTGCTGCCCTGAACATATTTCTTAGCATCCCCTTACAGTGATCACATTTAATTGTTACTTTGCTAAATGTGTTAGTCTTGTTTGAGATTCTACAGTAATTTTACAGCTACAGTGTAAACTAAAAATGACAAAGATGAGTGCTGTTTGAAAGTATAATTCATGTAAACACTAAATGTTAAACACTAAACACGCTAGAGGCATTTTGGCTATCAAACGTGCATCAAAAATACTTCCATATATGAAAGAACAGATAGTCACGTGTATCAATAATACTAAGTCAGCAGTCCAAGGGACATACGTGAATATCGGGTCCTAATTGGTCAAACCCATCTAGTTTACAGTGGTTCTGATAATTGTGTGTCAATATGTCCGAAGGCTGCCAATAGAAGCAGGCTTAATGGCAGTCCGTTTATTTGAACTAATGCTGTACCATTGATGTGCTTGCTGTTGCTTAACACTTGACCTTTTCTCTTCTTACTCTTTCTCGGTTTTCCACACTTTGTTTTCAATTGAGCATTTTCTCCAGTAGTGGAGTCCTCCCTCCTATTAACTGATCACAGAGCATGCTCGCACTGTCAAGTACATACCTATGTCATTTGTTTTACATTCTTAGTAAATCTGTGTCAGGTTTATATAAACCACTATTTACACTGTCCCTTTTTAGGCAAACTGGATACACTGGAATGAACCAAAGCAGTATGATGGGCTCTAGCCCCCCCTACAGCCAGCCTGTGAATAACAGCTCGATAATGACAAACCCTCAGACTACTCCATACAATATGGCATCCAACATGGTGAACAACTCTTCAGGTAATGTGCATTTAAAATGAGCAGAATTGTATTGTAAAAATGCGTTTCTGTTTTCAGAACAAGGCAATGTTTTTATATGGTAAACATTTAAGACGGCACAGTAGTACAGTGGTTAGCACTGCTGTCTCACAGCACCAGGAATTTGAGTTTGATTCCAGTCTTGGATTACTGTCTGTGTGGAGTCTGCTTGTTCATCCCTTGTCTGCATGGGTTTCTGCTAAATGCTTCGGTCACCTCCCATAATCCAGGCTAGGTGAATTAGCCATGGTACATGTGGAGTCATGGAAATAGGGTGGGCACTGGGTTTTGGTGGAATGCTGTTCGAAGGGTTGGTGCAGACTTGATAGGCTGAACGGCCTGTTTCCACACTGTAGACATCCTATCGTTTAACCAATTTTCCTATAATCCCAATAGTTCCCTGTTGCTTTTAGTAAGTAGGAAATCAGCTATATTCACAGAAGTTATGTTTCAAAGTTACAGGCACAAAAACTAACCTTGTGTAGAGACCCTTCCAGTTAGCAAATCTATTACCTTTTTATATTTTCAAACTTAATTTTATTGATCTAACAGTATGAGATATTGCCTCTTTTTACTGCACATTTTCTCCCTTTCATTTCTCTGTGAAAGACATTAATTCTTTGCTTTGACTCTGGCTTTGGTATGTTTTCTAATCTGGCACTTATTTCAAAGGCCAGCTTTCTTTTGTAAGTCAGGAATGTTGACTTGCTATTCACCCCAGCTTAATCCAAAACTGTCTTTAACCAATATCAGCACATGTACTAATCATCCTCTTCCCTAGCCTTATCTTTATCCAAGGAAATTGAGAGGCCATTTCTGGTGTCTCAACTAGTACACTGACTAAAATCAATTAAGTTAGCGTACACCTGAATTTGAACCTGGCACATTACCAATCCGAATGGTTCAGTTTAGCAGCTGAGCAGGAATGGAATGTATTTAATTCCTTTCTTTGTTTCTTCATTGCCATCAACTGTCTTTCCTGGCCATATAATCTTTTACATCCACCTGAGCGGTCAGATAGCACATCAGCCTCACATCTCATCTGAAAGACAGTGCGACTGACTTCCTCAATACTGCGCTGCAATGTCAGCCTAAATGTTTATGCTCAAGTCCTTAAACTTAAGCCAATACAATCTGACTGTCATTAGTTTAAAAAAAAATGGATGTGGTGTACTTTTGTGTCTTTTGTAAACGTCATAATACCCAGAAACAATGTAAAAGTATTCCTGGCTTTAAATATTCAAGAAAGAAGACTAATGATGAGACTTTCCACGTAGGAGTGGACAAGTAGATAAAGGGAGAGATTGTAGATAAGGGAAGATGGTGGTCTAGTGGTATTATCACTAGACTCTCAATCCAGAGACATAGATAATATCTGGGGGACCCAGGTTTGAATCCCATTTGAATTCAATAAAAATCTGGAATTAAGAGTCTAATGATGACCACGAATCTATTGTCGATTGTTGGAAAAACCCATCTGACTGCAGGCCCACAGCAGTGTGATTGATTCTTAAACTGCCATCTGGGCAATTAGGGATGGGCAACAAAATGCTGGCCTAGCCAGTGGCTGCCTCATGCCATGAATGAATAAAAGAAGTTGTAAAAAGACAATATTACAGATGCTGTATCGGAATGAGCACATCATTCGTTTCAAAACAGATAAATTTTTAGCACAGATAAATATATATATTATTTTTAATATAAAATAAATATGTATGACCTGATCACCGTTATAGAAACATGGCTGTAAGGAACAAAGGCTGAGACCTTAATATTGATGGGCATTTGACATTTTGGAAAGCTAGGAAATGTTTGTGGGGCTGCTTTGTTCATTAAGGCTGGCATTATTATTGAGAGAGCAATGAGAGTTAGCTTGAAAAAGCAAGGAAAGGATCAGTTTGGGTGGAAACCAGAAAGGAAAACAATAAGTGATCACTTGTCTGAATAGTTTAAATTGATTTAATCTATGTTAATTAGATGAATCAAAGGCAAATGAAACCTGGAAAAGAGAGTATGTTCTGGTCTTTTTGTTAGAGCATTATGTTTTCGTGGTAACCAGGCAGAAGGCTATTCTGGATCTAGTAGTGTGCAATGAGACAAGATTACTCAATCTTGGTGTAATGGAGCCGCTAGGTGACAGTTACAGAGGCATTGAGTCGTACAGCCTGAAAACAGACCCTTGGTACAACTAGTCCATGCCAAACGTGTTCCCAAATTAAACCAGTCCTACCTGCCTGCGTTTGGCCCACATCCCTTCGAGCCTTCCCTATTCGTGTACTTATCCAAATGTCTTTTAAACATTGTAACTGTATGTGCATCCACCACTCCTCTGGCAGCTCATTGCACACACTAACTACTCGCTGTGTAAAAAGGTTGCCCCTCGTGTGCTTTTTAAATCTTTCTCCTTTCACCTTAAAACTATGTCCTGTAGTTTTGAATTCCCACCCCTCACCCAAGGGAAAGACCTTTGCAGTGCCCCTCATGATTTCTTAATCTATAAGATCAGCCGTCCTGTGTTCCAATGGAAAAAGCCCCAGCCTATCCAACCTATTTTTATAACTCAAATCCTATATTCCTGGCAATATCCTGGTAAATCTTTTCTGAACCCTCTCGAGTTTAATAATATCCTTCATATAACAGAGTGACCAGAACTGCACACAGTAGTCTAGAAAAGTCCTCACTCATGTCTTGTACACCTCCAACATGACATTCCATCTCCTATACTCAAAGGTCCGAGCATTGAAGGCAAGCGTGCTAAACACTTTAGCCACCCTGTCTACCTGTGACAAAAATTTGAAAGAATTATGAACCCGAACTCCTAGGACTCTCTTCTACAGCACCACCTAGGGCCCTAACATTAATTGTATAAGTCTTGCTCTTGTTTGTTTTGCCAAAATGCAATACTTTGGATTTATCCAAATTAAACTCCGTCTGCAACTCCTCAGCCCATTGACTCAATTGATGAAGATCTCTTTAGAATCTAAGATAACCTTCTTCACTGTCCACTATGTCACCAGTTTTGGTGTAACCCCACAAACTTGTATGCCTCCTACATCCTCATCCAAATCATTTATATCAATGACAAACAGAAGTACCAGTGCCAATCCCTGTGGAACACCACTGATAACAGGCCTGCAGTCTGAAAAACAATCCTCCACCACCACTCTATCTTTTACCGTAACGCCAATTTTGTATCTAATTGGCAAGCTCACTCTGAATCCCATGTGATATAACTTTATGACTGACTCTACCATGCAGAACCTTATCAAAGGCTTTACTAAAGACCAAGTAAACAATGTCTACCGCTCTGCCATTATCAATATTTTTGGTTACTTCCTCAAAAAACTCAATCAAGTTTGTGAGACACCATGTTCCTTGAACAGAACCATCCTGAATACTTCTAATCATTCCTTGCCTCTTCAAATGTATGTAAATCCTATCTTTCAGAATCACCTACGACAACTTACCCACCACTGATGTTAGACTCGCAGGTCTATATAATTCCCATGCTTCTCCTTATAGCTTTTCTTAAATGAAGGCACAACAACGGCCACCCTCCAGCACCTCTCCTGTGGTTATAGATGATACAAATATTTCTGCTAGGGACCTCACAATTGCCTCCCTAACTTCTCACTTGATCAGGTTCCAGAGATTTACATTTTCTAACACCTCCAGCACATCCTTTTCTGTAATGTGAACTGTTTTCAAAATATCAATATTTATTTCCCTGATTTCTGTGGACTCCATCTCTTTCTCAACAGTAAAGCTGACATGAAATATTTCTCTCATCTCATCTGAGGTTCAACACAAAGATGACTTTGTTGATCTCTACGGGGCCCTACGCTCTCTGTAGTTGCTCTTTTGCTCTTAATGTAGGTGTAGAATCTCTGGATTATCCTTAACCTGATTTGCCACGGCTATCTCATATCATCTCTCTGCCTTCTGATCTCCCCCTTAAGAATGCCCCTACACTTCTTATACCCTTCAAGAGATTCATTTGGTCCCAATTACCTGTACTTAAAATATGATTTCTTTTTTATTCTTGACTAGAACCTTAGTATCTTTATTCATCTATTGTTCCCCATTCTCACCAGCCTGACCTTTATCTGCTAACAGGAACATAATGCCTCTGAACTCTTTTTATCACACATTTGAAAGTCGTTCCTTTATCTGTGAGCAGTCGACCCAATCAATTTTTGAACGTTCTTGTCTCCACCATTAAAATTTGTCTTACTCCAGTTAAGGACTTTAACTTTTATGAAAGGCTTATACTTTTCCATAACTATTTTAAAACTAATAAATATGATTACTAGTCCCAAAGTGTTCCCCAACTATAACTTCAGTCACTTGCCCTCCATTATTTCCCAACAGAAGGTCAAGTTTTGCTCCTTCTCTAGTAGGGACATGTACATATTGATAAAGAAAATTTTCTTGAACACATTTAGAAAATTTCTCACCATCCAAACCTTTAACACGATGGCAGTCCCAGTCATTGTTTGGAAAATTAAAATTTCTTACTGTTACAACCCTATTATTCTTACATGGCAAGGCATCGTGTTATCCAAGGCATGATGGAAATTCACATTCTAGCTGAAGGTGAGCAATATGGATACAAGATAAGTGTTTTAACCTTATCATAACCATACGCAAACAAAGGCAGTGCTGGTTAAAGTGAACTGGAAAGCTTGTAAAGAAATCATTAACTCTCAGCAAGGATTTATCCCAATGAGAAAGAAAGACTTAGAGATAAATCTGTTAGTAAATAAGGAAGTTAAGAATAGATTCAGATTTAACGAAAGACTGCACAATCCTGCAAATGCTAGTCACAGATTAAAAGATTTGATAGATTTTAAGAACCATCAAAATACAGAGATAACAAAGTGTGGAGCTGGAGGAACACCGCAGGCCAGGCAGCATCAGAGGAACAGGAAAGCTGATGTTTCGGGTCGGGACCCTTCTTCAGAATTTTCTTGTTATCTCTG